CAACAGATTCAATGCAGTCCCCAGCAATACACCAATGACATTCTCACAGAAATAGAAAAAATAATCCTAACATTCATATGGAAAAACAAAAGACCCCCGAATAACCAAAGCAATCCTGAGTAAAACAATAAAGCCAGAGGAACAAAACTACCTGACATCAAATTATACTACAAAGCTATAGTAACAAAAACAGCATGGTACTGGTACAAAAATAGACATTTGGATGAATGGAGCAGAACAATAGTGAACCCAGAAGTCAACCCCACATACTTAAAGCCAACTGATGTTTGAGAAAGGCACCAAGAATATATACTGGGGAAAAGACTGCCTCTTCAGTAAACAATACTGGGAGAATTGGACATCCATATGTAGAAGAATGAAACTAGACCTGTACCTCTCTCACCATATACAAAATCAACTCAAAATGGATTAAAGACTTTATAAGTATAAGACTTGAAACTGTAAAACTACTAAAGGAAAATATAGGGGAAACACTTCAGGAAGTAGGACTGGTCAAAACTTTATGAATATGACTCCAAAAGCATAAGCAACAAAAGAAAAAATAAATGGCATTATATCAAACTATAAAGCTTTTGTACAGCTAAGGAAACAATCAACAGAGTGAAAAGACAGCCTACAGGATGGGAGAAAATATTTGCAACATGTACATCTGACAAGGGATTAATATCCAGAATATACAAGGAACTCAAACAACTACACAGTAAAAAACAAATAACCCTATTAAAAAATGAGCAAAGGAGTGGAATAGACAATTTTTCAAAGGCAGACAAATAAATGGCCAACAGGTTCTTGAAAAAATGTTGAACGTCACTAATTATCAGGAAACTGCAAATTAAAACCACTTTGAGATATCATCTCACCCAAGTTAGACTGGCTATAACCAAAAATACTAAGAACAACTAATGCTAGTGAGGATGCAAAGTAAGGGGAGCTCTTCTGCACTGTTGGTGGGACTGTAAATTAGTGTACACTTTATAGGAAACAGTATGGACATTTCTCAAACAACTACAGATAGAACGACCTTGAGATCCAGCAATCCCACTAATGGGTATGTACCCAAAGGAATGGAAATCATCATGTTCAAGTGATACCTGCACTTCCATGTTTATTGCAGCTTTATTTATAATAATCAAGGTATGGAACTAACCTAAATGTTCATTGATGGAAAACAGGATAATGAAAATGTGCTATATATATATATGTAATGTAATACTACTAGCCATAAAGAAATAATAATATTCTACCATTTGCCACAACATGGATGAGCTTGGACAAAATCATGTTAATTAAAATAAGCAAGACACAGAAAGAAAAATACCATGTCCTCACTCATAAGTGGAGCTAAAAATTAAATAAATAAATAAGAAAGAAAGAAATACATCAATAAAAATTAAAAGGGAAAAAAAGGTATTCCCACAAGATCACATATGAGAATGTTCAATGTAGCATTATTTATTAAAACCAAACAAAAGCAAATAAAAATCATTAAAGTCAGGACTAGGGGACTGAATGACTATGTTATGATAATTATGATATAGCTATAAAATATAGTAATGTGTAGCCATTGAGAAAAAAGAGGTGGAGCAATATGAAATGATATAAACAGATAACTGGCATATTAACTTAAAGCAAGGAAAAAAAGAACACACTGTATTAGATGTACATGCACATTATTCTTTCTCTCTTTTTGAAGTATCGTGGAGGTGTTATACATTCTCCATGGGGAGGGCACAGAGGGGAATCTGGAAGCTATATACACTAATGCACAGAAACATCTTTCTTATTGCTTTCTCAAAGAAAGCATGTGTATAAACTCCAAAACAGTCATGAAAATATCTGTAACCGAAACATTTCTGAACATATCTGAAAAAAAATGTTCAAAGCACTTGATAACCTCGGGTAACAGAAGTCAGTGTGAATGCTCAGCTTACAGACTAAAAAATAAAGAAGTTCTTCATTTGCCAAACTTGATTTAGAGTTGATGTTTAGAAGCTCAGAAAAAGCCTCAGGAAAAGGAGATAAAGAAGAAAAGATAAAGTAAAGGTAGAGAGAAAGATAAAAATAAGCATAAAGATAGGGAAGAGAAAGTTACAAGAGGAGCTTAACTGAAAAGAATTGGAGTGAAAAGGAGACAGGGGAGTAATTGGAGTAAAAAGTACAGTGCAGGCAAAATTGACCAGATTAAAGAATAAATGGACACAAAGGAGAAGAGAAAATATATACTATTGTTTCTGTTATCTTAATATAATTATAACAATAATAGTTGTAGGTAACATTAAAGAACTTTGAGAAGATACACAATACACTCAGTACCTCAAACTTTGAAAACATCATGGTTCCACTACACCCGAATGCCTTGTATTCACAATGACAGCCCTATGTTGTCTAAATGTGGCATCTGTACTCACTATAATTATTTTTGCCAAGGCAGAGAAATTGCTGTACCTCAAACTTTGAAAACATCATGGTTCCACTACACCCGAATGCCTTGTATTCACAATGACAGCCCTGTGTTGTCTAAATGTGGCATCTGTACTCACTATAATTATTTTTGCCAAGGCAGAGAAATTGCTATTGTATCTTTTTAAACAATGATTGCAACTAAATATTGTATCTTTTTAAACAATGATTGCAACTAAAAACTGCTAGATTTTGATATGCCAAAGTATTTACCATAGTCTATCTAAAACCACTCCTTGGTGAGTAAAGATTACAACTGCTATGTCTGCACCATCTATTCCCATAGACACGCATGCATCTCACAGGTAGCTCCGCCTGGGAATTCAAGGGGAGGCACCCTTTTATTCTGAGAGGTCAAGTGGGGATTTCTCATTTGTCTTCATAACTTTTCATTGTATCAGCGTGGATTCAGCCTAGACACACAACCATTGGCTTATGGACTGAACGGCATGGCAAATCACAGACATCTCATCTTATATTTAGTTTTGAAAGTCCAATTTAGAGATTCTCTGCATTGCAGCATGAGGTCAGCATTTCATTGACAAAAATCCCTGTTGTCAAATCTATTTCTGCTGCAGGTCTGAAGGTTTAGGACAGGGAATACAATACCACCCTTTCAAGTTTTTAGTAAAATAAAACAAAATTAAAAACAGCAGCCATCAGAGAATCTGTCAGGTTCTTAGGTCGTCCACATTCCTACATATAAGGTTTCAGTTAGTTAAGTTAGTAGGTAAGGAGGCTGTTAATTGTTTCTATTCAGAAGTTTGATTTTTCCCTCAGTGGATAGAAATTAACTTGACAATTGAACTAATTTCTATGTGGAATTTTTGGAAAAAAGTGCTCATCCCACACAAAAAATAAAAATGGATAATGAAGACTGAAAGAATTGTATAATTTAATCTATTTGTTTTACTCCAGCTACCATGCTTTATTTGCAGAAAACTGTGCTTGGCGTCCACAGGATCTCTGTGATCAATGCTGAAGTGTCAACATTTAACTCAAGTCCAGACCACTACTATCACAACCCTATTCCAAAAATGCACCCGAAAACAAGAAACTGCAAACTTACTTAATAAGCTTCCACTCCCTCTTTCCCCCTTCTGGCCTTTTTGTCCAGGATTTCCTTTGAAAAAAGAAAAAAAAAATATTTTTTTTAAATCAGGGCAATTCACAATGCTTGCTTTAAATGGAGACAGGACATTGCTAGGTAATCTAAAACATCAATGTATAACAACATACAGACACTGAAATATAACAATAATGTTGATAATAATAATGATAGCTATCACTGGTAAAGTCTTATTACGAACCTGGCATTGTGCTATCTCAAATTATTTAAAAGGGCATTAAATGTCCCATTTTTCTAAAACAGGCAAAGCTGATGTGTGAGTGGTTTGTTTTGTGTTTATTCACCCTCCTCTCCTGCTCTTCCTTTTACTCTACCTTCCTCCCACCCCTAGGAAGCCCAGTGTCTTCCATCTCACTGGAAACCTTCCTCTTCTATTCCATTACAACTTATCTGTACGATTTTCCATTTCTTTATGGTGGGAGCACCCCAGAGACTGGGCTGTGAATGAATTTCTGGGAGTGCTGAGATTCTGATGACATCAGTCTTAGAGGAAGGTAGGAAGGTCTGTGGGACATTCGAACCTCGAGGCTGGGTCACTTTTGGCTTTGAGCAACCTCATTCATTTACACAGGATGGTGGTACAAATATCATCATTTTATATGAGGATCAGGGTTTCGAATTGATGTGGAAACACTGCTAGACCTTGGTCTTTGCTAATAAATTGTTAGTTCACCCACAGTTCCATTTTTTTAGAGGGGTATCCAGGAGATGTTCTTTTAGTACCAACAAGAGATTTTAATGGTGACAATTTCATCTCATGAGAGTGGCGCTGCTCTTGCTTATTAATTCTTCTTCCAACAGCCATCAGGGACTTATGTGCAAGTGACTACTTTCTTGGCATAAAAGGAGGACTGATCCTACTGCTTTCTGTCTCTAAGTCGAAGTCTTTGCTATTGTTCTTGATTTCCCACCCCCAACAAAATCAAGAACCTCCATCTTTTCATCTAAGAACAGAGAGGACATAGTTTAAAAATCATGAACTTTGGAATTATTATAATTTTGAAACCTTTGGCTTTAATTATTTTGCATTGTCACTCACTAGGTACGTGGCTCAGGACAAGTCTTTAAGACTCTCTGAGCCAAAGGTTAGTCTTCTCTAAAATGAAAAAATAATGCATTTCATTTGACTTGCCTTGAAAATTAGCAACAAAGTTCACAAAGCACCATGTCCATAAGAGGTGCATGTAAGAGATGGTGGCTCTTATTATGTCTGTTTCTCATCTCCCAAAGCTTGGCTAGAATCTGCTCTCTGCAATTGCATTCTCAGTGAATGAAAGAGAACTTTTTAAAAAAATCTAAGTTCACTTTTATTTTATTTTTATTTGAATTCATCAATATACAATGTAGTTGATTTTCATGTCCCTTTACCAATTCATCTTTCCCCCTCCCTCTCCCCCTTCCCCTCCATCAACATCATATTGTTCACTTTTCTTAACAAGTTCAAGGAATTGTTGTGATTGTTGTGTCTTCTTCCCCCCTCGCACCCCCCACCATTTGTATATTTATTTACTGATTGATTTTTAACTCCCACAAATAAGTGAGAACATGTGGTATTTCTCTTTCTGTGCCTGACTTATTTCACTTATAATCTTTTCTAAGTCCATCCATGTTGCTGCAAATGGTAGTATTTCATTCTTTTTTATAGCAGAGTAGTATTCCATTGTGTAGATGTACCACAGTTTTCTTATCCACTCAACCAATGATGGACATTTGGGCTGGTTCCAACTCCTGGCTATTATAAATAGAGCTGCAATAAACATTGGAGTACAGGTATCCCTTCAACATAATGATTTCCATTCCTTTGGGTATATTCCCCGCAGTGGAATAGCTGAGTCATATGGTAGATCTACTTGTCATTGTTTGAGGAACCTCCAAACCATTTTCCATAAAGGCTGCACTATTTTGCAGTCCCACCAACAACATATGAGATTTCCTTTTTCCTCCACAACTTCACCAGCATTTATCATTCACAGTCTTTTGGATATTAGCCATCCTAAATGGGGTGAGATGGTAGCTCAGTGTGGTTTTGATTTGCATTTCCCGAATGCTGAGTGATGTTGAGCATTTTTTCATGTGTCTGTTGGCCATTCGTATATCTTCCTTTGAGAAATGCCTATTGAGAACCTTTGCCCATTTTTTAATTGGGTTACTTGTTTTTTTGCTGTAAAGTTGGTTGAGGAACTCAGTTCAGCTTTTAAAAAAATTTTAATTGACATATAATAACTGTATGTATTTATGGGTTGCAGAGTAATATTTTGATACATACAATGTGTAATGAACAAATCAGGATAGTGAGCATATTCATCACCTAAAACATTTATTCCTTTGTGTTGGGAACATACAAATGTGCCTCTCTTCACTTCTTATGGCATAGTTATATTTAATTTTATTTTAAAGTGTTAATATTTATTTATTTACCTATTTTTGGTTTCTCTAGTTTACTTTGTCTTCATCTGTGTTTTGTTTTGAATGTTTGTTCTTATGTACCTTTTAGAGAAGACTTTTGTCCCCTAATTTACCAAATTAAAAAAATGTGATATATTAATGGGTAGCATGAGACTTGAGGCACTCAAAAAGTATAATTTTCCAACTCAAATTTTTTTTGAAGATTTAACAAAATGCCAACCATTCATTATCAGAGTATTATAAAGAGAATTTCTAAGTTGCTAATTGTTTTGCATAATGTGATTATACTTTATATCATTAAATTCACTTTTTAATTGTGTGTGAGTCATTTCATGTATTCTTAAATTGGCAAAAATCATTTAGTTCGTATAAAGTACCCAAAACCTTTCTGATTTTTTTGATGGTATCCCTTTATGAGGTATAATACCAAATTTTCAGTTTGCTCAAGAGGAAAAGCTTAAGAAATAAAAAATAAAAATAAAAATGATAAGGGAGAGTTAAAGCAAGGTGTAACTGATCAGTTCTATTTCCTTTCAGAGAAGAAAATGTAATAAACAAGCTTAATTTCATCATTTCAGAATTAATTTCACAATTAGAAAAGAGAAAGAGACTGAATTATTCTTGGAAGTCTTTTCACACAGTGATTTGTCTTGGATATCTGAGACTAGAAATGCTCAGTTCAGAGCACTGACCCACTTACGGTCCTTATAGCTCTAGGATCCTACAAGCATAAAATTAGTTTTTTTTATTTTTTTTTTCTGACACCACTGTGACTTTTTCTCTTAGAGACGGTAAAACAAAACTTTTTTATCTTCTTATTATAAATAACAAACAAATGTTTTATATCATTTTAGTATAATTGAGAGATGTCCTCCCAGAGGACACTTAGAAATCTTTTCTCACACTTGAAAATACCAAAAACATTCTTTCTAGAGAATAGGAGTGTATTGCTCCTTTAGAATGACATCTTTGGTTAAAAATGACCAAGGACAAAACCTGGAGTTAACCCTCTCCTGTCACACACATCACTCTTTAATCAAAAATAACATATTTCTGAAACCCATTGAAAAATGAGAAGTAGATAGTATGTAATATAGTGACATTCTAACTTTAAATGTTAGAGGAGGTGTTTCAATGACATAAGTATTTCGAGCATTTTTAGTGCCGCTTCTATGATGCAGGACATTTTCACGTGCATGCCTGAAGTAGCCCAGACACACTTTTCTACAGCTGTAGCCCCTCCTCTCTTTTTTAGCTATTTCAGTTTAGATTGTGACCATCCTCCCTCAAAAGCTTAATACTTCTCTGAATTCTTCACCTTCCACCTTCTCGTTAACCTTACACTATCTTTTTACCCTCCAACCTCTTCTCTATTTTATCTTTCCATCAGCATTTAAATACTATTCAAATCTCTTCTTCAAAGAAAAACAAATCAAATGAAAAAACACGACAAACAAAAAGCTCATTTCTTTCGCCATCTCTGCATAACGAGAGGGTTGGCTCTGTCCCCATCTGCAGTCCCCACCACCTACCTGTTCTGGCTCTGAGCACACCTGGATCTGGTTTCCACCCCACCCTGCCCCACAGGAACTGCTTTCAACAGAGGTAACATCCCCAAATCAATAAATGCACAGAGCTTTCGGGAAACTTCGTGTGACGTGAACACCTTTTGAAACTCCCTCTGCCTTTGGCTTCTTTCACACCACATTGTCACTCTGCTCTGTTGGAACTGCTGCTCTGCTCTTAGCCCTGAGCCTGTAGTACTGGAACTACTTAATGCTTATCCAAGCCCCCCTCTCTTTTTACCTCCTTCTCACTCTCAACCTAAGAAATCCTATTAAAATCCTATTAAAATGTTCCAGTGGACATTTATATGATCATAGCTGCAACTTGGTCTTTCTATCTCTGGCCTCTCCTCTGAACTCCAGACCTATATATTCAATTATCTATGGATAACTCCATGAATGGCACAGAGAAAATGTTCAGTAAATGTTTGTTGAATAAATAAATGCATTATTTTTGGTCTGTAGTTTTAGATACTCCTAAAAATGACCATAACTCACCCTTAAGGAAAAATCATCACTTTGATTTGCCTCTGAGAGGCTGACTGGACAGAAGCACATTATTTGCATGCTGGATGGTCTTTTTTTTTTTTTTTTTAAACAAAGTTATATACAGAGTCTTCTAGAGATTCTGAAGACATGTAAGATTACACTTCAGTTAAATTTCTGAAGTAAATACAGTATGTCAGATCTTATTGTAAATGCTTTACTTTATAGATATTCTTTGCACGGAAAATGTACACATTCTTCCCTTTCCCTTCTCATGTTTGTATATCTTATCAGTGAAGATCTGTGTGTCATGCACCTCTCATTTTCCTGTATCCAGCATTGTGCCCTCTCTATGCCGTGTACACTTAATCTGTGTAGAAGGAAAGGGGTGGGGTGGGGAAGACAAGAGGAGCAGGAGAGAAAATAAACATGGGATGCTCTTTCTTGAACTTTTTGCCTTCTTAACATTCCTAAAATTTCTGCTACTTTTACCATTTTTATGTAGACTTTCTAGAAAGACACATTAGTAACTCTGTTTAAGTCAGAGCTATAGTGATATCTGGATTTAAAGTTAATTAGCTACAGAAAACGAGTATATGATGTAATGCATATGTAGCCCACAATATATCCATATTTCAAAACAACATGTTGTACATAATAAATATATACAAGTTTGTCCATAAATAAGTAAAAACAATTCTCATGATTTAATGTAAAAAGGAAGCTACAAATAGACCAGATCAGAAAGAGTCCAAAACAAAATCATACCATGATTTTGCCAGGGATACTAAATGATCACTATTATTTGAGATAGATCACAGGCTGATACACTATTTTAAATTTAAACTTAGATTATTGATAAAATATTTTATCTCACTTCACAGAATTATTTTGAATTATCTTGGAATTTATAGGTAGCTTCAAAATTGTGTCAAATTTAAGGTTTTTAAATATATTTACTTATTAGAGACAAATCACCCATATGGGAAATTCAGTAATTCCTGAGTAATGTAGATAATTTCAAACAAATTAGCAAATGTGAATGCTTTTTTCCATTTTGCCAAAAGAGCCTGATTAAAGCTAGACAGTTTTAGAGAGGCTGGTACATAGATATACCACCCACTTCAGGTAATCAGGTCTCTAGTGGAGACTAATTACAGATTCCTTATTTGTGGCTAGCTGATTTTTCTCCAAGCCTAATTGACATTGAAACAGTTCATAAACACTGTTATTATCAGCAATACTGCAACATACCTATAATGATTGCTAAAATCCAGAACAGTGACACCACCAAATGCTGGTGTGTGGAACAACAGGAATCCTCATTCATTGCTGGTGGGAATGCAAAATGGTAGAGTCCCTTTGGAAAACATTTTAGCAGTAAACGTAGTTTACCATGTGACCCAGCAATTGTACTTCTAGGTAAACTCTTTTACATACAAAAGCTTGCACATAAAGGCGTATAGCAGCTTTATTCATAATTTCCCAAACTTGGAAACACCAGGATGTCCTTCAGTAGGGGAATGGATAAACAAATTGTGTTAAACCCATAAAATGGAATGTTATTGAGAAATAAAAAGAATTTATCAATCAGGCCAGGAAAAGACGTGGAGGAACCCAAAATACATATTGCTAAATGAAAGAAGCCAGTCGGAAAAAACTACGCACTATAAGATTCCAACTATATGACATGCTGGAAAAGGCAAAGCTATGGAGACAGTAAAAAGATCAATGATTGCCAGGGATTTGTGGGAATGGAGAAGAGAGGGTTGGTGATGAGTAGGTGGACCACAGGTGATCTTTAGGGCATTGAAACTATTCTGTATAATGCCGTAATGATGGATGCATGACATTATACACTTGCCAAAACCCATAAAACATGTAACACGAGTGGCCTTTAATGTGAACTATGGATTTTAGTTAATAATAGTGTATCCATATAGGTTCATTCATTGTTACAAATGTACCACACTAGTGCAATATACTAATAATAAGAAAAATTGTGTGTGGGTGGTACACGGGAACTCTCTGTACTTTCTGCACAATTTTTCTATAAACCTAAACTGCTCTAAGAAATAAGATCCATTAAAAAATACCTCAACATCCTACTTTCTTGATAATAACTCACTTTGAAATTAGGAAATAAAACGCCTTCCCCCTTCTAAAATTGCTATGCAAAGTTCACAATTCAAGCTTAAGCTACTGGCATAACCAATGAAAATAATATCATCAAGTGAGCAAATGTTGATATTTAGAGTGCTGAACAATGTTGATTATTCAGCATGAATAAATAGTAGCAGGTAGCTTATTTCGCATAGTATAGGATTTCAGGCCCACCTGTATTTTGCTAACTGTAACTTAACAGGATTTGGACAGTTGTGGTTAAAGTGGTATTTATACCTTGTTTATTTGTTTTTCTTTGCCTGTCTTTCCTCTCTCTTTTTTGTCCAAAGGTAGATACCATTCTTCACAATGATTTATGATTGTGTAGAGTTTATAAATCCTGTGTTCATTTGTTTTGAACTATTTTCCTTCGGGACATAGAAACTTTCTTCAGGTGGATAGAAATAAGTTTCAAAATGCTTTAGGCCACAAAATAAACTGCATGTGAATGCTACTATTCAGACTATGATGAATATATTTTTGTTATCCAAGAATTTGAAAAAAAAATCTATAAGCTGTTGTTTCTTTTACATAATTAAAAAAAGAAAAAACTGCACATGATCACAATACCTGGCCTTCCTGCGGGTCCTGTGGCTCCTCGACTTCCAGGAAAGCCAACTGCTCCCCGATCACCTTTAAGACCTGGAGGACCTAGATGGTTAATGAAGAAAACAAAGTGGGTAATAATTCATTTTGCATACAGATTTGAGAGTGTGATGGAAGAATCTAGTTTCATAAATGAATATAAAGCAGATGAATCTACAAATGGAGTAATCTTATCTTTCCTAAAATTTCATGTGTGCCATTGAAAGGCAATATAAACAATAAATATAAACGTTAATACATTTAGTACATTGCATATAATCAGTAAATAACATATTGTTAGCAGAAATAAAAGCACATGAGAAAAAATAAATCTTAGAGTTTTAACCAGAAGGCTTCTGTAGTCAATCAGAAGTTGTCAAATAACAGAATTTTGCTGCAGCTGAAATGGTAACTTTGAAATGTATAAGCTGAAAATTGAATTCTTAAAATTTGCCTTTGAAAAAGGACAACTTACACAATAAAAAGTATCAGAGTATTTATAAAAAGTTGGTGTCCTAGTTCTGGAATATATCACTTTATCTCTCATGAACCTGTTTTTCCATATTCCATATGTAAAACATATTCTATATTCTAATAATACATATTCCATATGTAATCCCGAATAATGTAAATATATATGTATACACACACCCAAATACATACACACATACAATACACAGATTTACTTATGAGTATATATTACATACATACACAAATCCAAGGTTATACGTGCTTAAATGAAAACTGAAAATGGCCATTTTTTTTCTTTTTACCCCATATCTCTGTGGTGACCATGAAAACTGCATATAAAAGCAAATGTTATATTCCTATGAAATAAAATATTTCATCCTGGAGTTCAAAGGTTTAAGATAAACTATTGTAAAATAGCTGAATTGTCTTATTTTATCTTCTTTTAAGTGTCATTGTCATACAACAAAGATCCCATTCATTCAATTTTTGGTTGACTCCTTGAGAAGAAACATTCTAAAAATTGATTATACATCTTTTTACAATATCAACCTTTTAGAAGATTACCCTTAGTTTGCAAGTTTCAGGAGACAAGGCTTATACATATTTAATTCATTAAATTTTTTTTCTTGAGATTCATTCTTATAGGCACCTAAAATTAGGCTAACTGTCCTCTAAAAAAATGTTCAATTTAAGAAGTATATTATTCTAAAAAGTTAAGAAATATTATTCAATCCAATGTAAAATTTCTTTTTTTTTTTTTTTTTTTTTTTTTTTTTTTTTTTTTTTTTTTTGTCTTTTTCCGTGTCCGGCAACGGATCGCAACCCTCAGTGTTGCCCCCGTACCGGACCGGGGACCGGCAACGGGATTGCAACCCTCGGTGTTGCTCCCGCGCCTCGCTCAGCCAGTGAGTGGGAACTGGTCTGTATGTGGGATCCGAACCCTCGGGCGGGAGCGCCGCCGCGCTTCCCAAGCGGCGCACTATCCAGTGCGCCACCGGGCCGGCCCCCGATGTAAAATTTCGATTCCAACAAAAATTAAGCAGATGTTCAAAGCAAAATAATTATAAATTATGTTTACAAATATTGGTAGAGTCAGGACATTTCAACTCAATGTAATTGCTCAGTTTATACTATTGTAATTCAGAGTATACAGCTGGAATTCATAGTATACAGCTCCAAAAAGATCTAACATCTGTTCTCAGGACAAGCTGATAGTTTAATACTTAGACCTCCTTTCACTGTACCTGTATTAGCAAGGTAATCAGACCTCTGCACTTGCAGCGATTGAGAACTGTCACTCAAATTTACAAATAAAAACACTGACACTATTCTCTCATTTAAAAAAATGTTTAAAACATTCTCCCACTCTTTACAGAATGTCACTCACAAATGACTCCCATTTTTACTATTTTCTCTATTAATTCAACAAATACTTATTGAGCACACATTTTGTGTTAGTCTTTGTACATTCCTGGAGTTAAAAATGACCTTATCCAAACAGATCTTCCAGTGTGGAGAAACAGTAAGGAGACAGATGGTGAGATAGGCAACAAATACATAAAGAAGGCAATTCTGGTAGTTATAACTTTAGAAAAACTCGGAAATGTAATAGACAATGGCTTGGGCCTGCTTTAGAGAGGGGATGAGAAATGGCCTCTCTTATGATGGCCTGTCAAGTACAGTACAGTGACAGAATGCAGGAGACCAACTACGAATTGTGGCACATTTTCAATGGGTAAACAAATAAATCCATAAATGAAGCACATAGCAATCAGTTGATCATTAGCCATCTATTAGGGGAGATGTTTACCAGACTCTATAAAGCCTGTAGAATTATGAGACTTGGTTGTTTAAAGATGTTTGAAAATGTGGCCTCTAAATGTGGCACCACTGTTGAATTTTATTCTAGGAGACCAGATTATCTTAGCCTTGTAGCTGGCAATTAGCTATTTTTCTACAATAATCTGTGGCAAAGGGAAAGGATTTGGCACCTGTTACTTACTCACAGGCAATGTAAGTACAATTATACAGAATCTCAGCCATGAAATGTTAGAGTTCCAAGAGACCTTAGACATCATTCCGTCCAAATCTATTATTTTGTGGAGGCAGGACCATAAGACCAGAGAGATCAAATCTCTTATGTAAGGCTGGACTGATCATTCTCCTCCTATCCTAGGTTCCCCACATTCCATTCAGGCTTCTTTCTGTGGTCTAGAAGACAGGCGTGGACTCTACAGTCATGCCCACCTGGCCTCACATACTAGCTCTGCCGCATACCAGCTGCTGACGGACCTCAAGCAAGTCATTTAATCTCCCTGCACATCCGTAAATTGGATGCATTATTCATCTCTACATCATCAGTTTTTTTGTGGAAAAATTGAATTAAAGGATAATATGAATCCTTCCACAAACGTTTTAAAGATCCCTTACATATACATATATACATGAGTGAGGTGTCTTCAAAAAGTTCATGGAAATATTCATATTGCCTTCTACTTGTATTTTTTCATGAATTTTTTGAAGTACCCGTGTGTGTGCATGTGCGTGTGTGTGTGTCTTTAAAAATACTTCTAAAATCTTTTTTTATGTTTTTTTTTTTTTTTGGTGGCTGGCAGATAAAGGGACTGAACCCTTGATCTTGGTGTTATTACACCACACTCTGACAAACTGAGCTACCCAGCCAACCCTAAAATCTTTTTTAATGTAAACTTTATAATCATTTTTTAAGCATAAGGATGTAAAGGCCAGGCAGGTGTCAAATTCATACTTTTTATTTTAAAAAATTGTTTTTCTGATGTAACCTGGGTTAGTAAATACATTGATCAGAAAGAACATCTCTATAATCAAAAGACAGAAAAAAAAATTACGATGAAATACATGGTATTTAGACTTTTTTGGCAGCACAAACAGTTATAATTAGATCATGCCTACTTTCAAACAGCATGCAGGGGATTTGATTTCTAGCCAAGAGGAACATGATAATCATGCTATTGTTACTGTCTTTTTTATTTTTTTAAGAGCAAAGAAAGTTCATGCTCTTTCTCCTTTTCTGTCTTCTATTAGCTCCTTTCAAAATAATGCTTTCAAGACTACAACATTGACAGAGGAAAATAATATGAAACAATTTTGCTCTGTGTAAAATGCAGAGTGGCTGACAGCAAATGTCATCTATATTTTAGTCAATATTTGCATTTAGATTTTGTGAGTTTCAATAGATACATTCAGGGAAGGACTACACTCATATAAGAAATATAATCCAATTTGCCCTTGACTCATATTAATGCATTCTTTTTTGGTATCTTAAAAAGCAGATAACTTGCAAATGTATTCAATGCAAAGATGAGGTTTGTATTTTCCTTCATATGTGACAAAAAGCTGGGTTTGCCATACACTGTTTGCAGACTATATTATAGACAACACTCCTAAGAATTAAGAGTAACTCCATGTAGTGACTCTGGCTAAAGCATTGAATTTTCTTCAAAAATCAAGTGTCAATTACAATTCAGCATATTATATGATTAGGCTGCTAGAGTACTTAATACCCCCCCTCCCTAACACACACACGCGCGCGCGCACACACACACGCGCACACGTGCACACAGATGTGTATTAACTAGCTTCATAGCACATGATTAAATAGTTACTATTATCATACCTTTCGGACCTGGTAAGCCTGGTGGACCACTTTCTCCAGTAGGACCTCTATCTCCTTTTTCACCTGGGGGCCCAGGAGGACCTTTAAAAAAAACACAATGACTGGTCATAGTTGTAGAGCATAAGTAAAATGAATTTGTCAAGACAGCTATGTAAGGAAATCTAAAGTGTTTTATTTGTTGTGCAATAATATAGGAGTAAGACTGACCTTCCTGAATGGAGGGCTACTCTGCTATTCAGTAGTATAATGCCCTATACTGATAAGAATGACATAGCCCTAGATTAAAAAAAAATATTTATTTATTAAATATTTATGTGTGCCTAACAGCCTTCTGGTTTCTAAGAACCTGGGGTCAGAGAAAAAATACCACATTGGCACAAGGCCACATTAGTATTGTGCATATACTGGTCAGATTTCACTATATTGAGTTGGATACTGTGTGAAAAGTGTATAAGGAAGGACTTATAAGACATTTGGATACGCTCAAGGGAAACAAAAATCCACACATGGTAAATAACCAAAAAGCATACTGTTGGAACTGACCATAAACTCAGATATTGGTCAGACAGATGGAGACCAGCCTGGGTGGCAGTGGTGGACGAGGACTTTAATGAGGGAGTAGGACATGAGGGTACTTTGAAGAATGGGTTGAATGAGAAAAAAGAGAATTCTAGGGAAATGAGAGAGACGTGTGGAAAGGCAGGAAGGTGAGAATGAGCAGTGGAGTCCTTTTTCAAGTAAAATCCCTAGATGCGTACAGATATTATAGAATAAGTAGAATCTCTAGATGGGTACAGATACTATAAAAAAAGAGGGAGAGCTTGCAGGGAAAATTTTGAATGCTTAGCTCCACCATTTCTCAGGTGGCTCCTGAGTGCTGAGTTGAACAACATTAGTTTAGTCATTTGAACTTTCTGAGTCCAGCAAAACAGATAACTGGCGATCACCTCTTGAGAATGCACTGAGTATGTCTTTAGAACTTAAAGGTAATCCTACCAGCATTCCCTCTTCCACATGGACTGCACAGGACAAGTATTCTTCCCTTCATTTAAAGCAGATGCTTAATTGTCTTTTCAACTCCAAAAGGAAGAAACAAACATAGACATACTACAGAATAATGAAATAGCAACGTTTTAAAAGGGGCACTTTCAATTGCAAGGGTTTGGGCACATACACAGCCCGAGGACAGCCAAGGACTGAAAGAGTCAATTTGCTGCCTGAATTCTGTTGAGCAAATTAAACAGAAGCAAATCCACAGTGTTGAAAGATGGTGTTTTGAGAAAAAGTGCATGAACACAGACTTTAACTTAGTAATTAGAGATCTAAAGCAATACACAGACATTTCAGCAAAAACTAGAATGATTGGGACCAGAAACGAGGGATACACAGATTAGGTCAAGGCTTTTAGCCTTAAGATTGAATCTTGCCATTTCTTTGGTAAGTAAGAAATGGAATTCTTTCGTAATTACTGACTATCCTTTCTATTATTTTGCATGTAACTATGGGAACTGCATACAGCTTTCATTTTGGGGAATTAGTTCAGTCACAACAAACATATCTGTGTTCCTTTCTGAAATTTGGAGTTAAAGATCCTTCTCTGTGTATTTATATATATATAAAAATATGAATAACTGGTGTCTGAATCCTAGAGTAAGAAAACCAGGTAAAGGCTTGCCTTAAATATTTCTAATTAAGTCTGTTGAGTATTACATTTTTATTCATCTTCTATTCTTTATGTAACAATTACCTTACCTATTAGAAGTTTCATTTTTATATATTGTTATATCTCTTTCACTGCCTCCAACAAAATGTTGGAAGGATCTCAATAAATGATCTAAGTGACTTTTAGATACTTTTGGGGGATGGAATTAAACAGATTATATATCACTGTACAATTAGCTTCTGGTATAGACCTTCTGAGAACATTATCAACATAAGGCTATCCAGCTGCCTTCCAGGCTGGTCTGCACTCCACCCCTGTTAAAGTCGTAGGTCACGTCCTCTTCATCCTACAGCTGGACTATTGCTAGAGTTTTTTTTATCTGGTCTGAATGAATTTTGTCTATTTCACCCTCCTATTTCTTTCGGTGTTGGCTTTTTCTTTCTTTCTAATAAGAGTCTGTTTTATGTCTCCATCAACTGGAAAGAAATGTGGTAATCTATTCTGCCATGTTATGGAACAAAAGAAAGAACATTAAGTCAGGAGACTTAGCGCCTATTGCAGTCACCTTTGTTCTTAGTTCCTACTTAGCCTCTTCAAACTCCTGTTTCATAATCACATCAATAACTGCCTCTGTGCATCAGTAAATGGACATAATGTTACCTGTCTGCTCCCTTGCTGACGTATGTCAGAGAAAACTGGATTAGTATTGGCCAAAATGAATGATTTGCTTTAGTTCAAGAAGCCATAACAGTTCATACTATTTTCCCTCATCTTTAATATCTTCTAATTACAAAGTTACAGGAATAATTCATAAATGCTACGGCAATAATCTGCTATGAACAATTACCTCTATAAAACACACAAATTCTATTTCGCTTCCCCTAAGATTATTTTTTAGAAAAAGAAAAACTAAGATTTCTACATAGCCACAAGAAATGTACTGATTTACAATACTTCGTAATCAGAAATATGATAGATCAAAAATACCCAGATTACTGGAAAAGCAAGCCCAGGCATATCACATTATTTAAAATCCTCAGATGATAACATACTACTAATAATATCTGCCTAAATTTCCAGAGCTATGCTTATCCATGTCCTATTCATTATGATAGTTATGATCATTAATTTTCTACTTCTTTTTCAATCTTGCCTCATATTCAGATTAAACATAAAAATATGCCAAATATTCTAGACTATTGCTACTTAAACCCCTATTTTTTTTCCTCCCCAGTTTTCGTGCTCGCTGATTTAGATATGTTTAACCTGGAAGATGCCTTAAAGATTGCTCAGTCAAACATACAAAGATACTTCAAAAAGTATGTGGAAAAATAGAATTAAAAGATAATACGAATCTTTCCATGAACTTTTAAAGTACCCCCATATTTACAGAGTATCAGAGAGTGAGTTTTGCAATATCTTAAAGCTAGTTGGGTAAAATCAGAACTAGAACACTTCCTTCCTGGCATCCTATGCTATACTATTCCAAACTCAATTGACTTCATTTTTGGCCATCAGTTCCTCCATTTTTTCCTGAGCTAATTTTTTTCTTTACACAGTAGCTAAAAACACAATCCATTTCAAAAATCTCAAATAATTGTGCAGAATTCCAAATCCAACTTTCGTCCATTGCTTGTTTTTTCTTCTTCCCTACCATAAAGATAAATATATCTTTTTTGGTGCTTTTAGATCCAGGAAAGCAAATATCTCTTCAAATCTTCCAAATAAACATCATATTCTCTTTTCTCAGCACTGAGTCATATCACATGATATTTCTCTTAACTTCCTCAAATGTTTACCCCTGGTTGCTTTAAATTGTGTAATCCCCAACTCTCCACCAAACTCTACTTCACCATTTCAACAATGAAATTGCATTTAGTCCTTTCAACTCTAGTTATTGCAATTACTTGAGAAATGTATTAGAAATATTTATTTAGTTTATCTTCATTATTATTTAGCAATAGTAAAGATAAGGAAAGGGGAAACACAGAGTATTGATACTGATCCTACAGCCAACACATGAGAAGGCACTCATTAGATTATACAATATGTTTCTCTTGGGTTACAGTTTAATAAATATTTATTAAAAATTTATTTCATGGCTATGTGCTACAAGGAATATAAAGACCAGACCCTCATTTTAAGAAACTTCTGTCCAGAAGTGCTAACATTTCACTAGAAGACACTATGAAAAACTTTTAAATGTGACTATCATATTAAGACTTCTTTCATGAGAGAATAACATTCAGTATTAAATAAAATATATATGTCAGCTGGGCATTACTATTGGTAGAAACAGAGAAGGCTTTATGCAATATCTTAGATGGACATTGAATGATATAAGACATTTTTAGATACAAGTAGAAGCGTATTATTTCAATTGAAGAAAAAGGCATGAGGAAGGATGTAGAAAGTACTAGGTATGTTAGAATTATAGTCAAATTGATTGAAATATTTGGTATATTGAAATATTTGGGGCAAGGGAGGGAATGAAGCATTCAAAAGTAGTTGAGACACATTGTAAAAGACCTTGAGTACAACAGAGAGAAATCTATGTCTAGTGAGAGGGAGTAGAGATGCTCTTTGCAATCTAGAGTTTCCCTTTAGGAAGGCTGCATTCTAACAAGAGTGTAGAAAGGGTTATAGTCCGGAAGCCTGAGGCAGGGAACAATTTCAGCAGTCTGACACAGTAGTGGTAAGAACAGTCCGTACCAGAATATGAATAAGTGACAAGGGAATAGAGAATAGAGAACATAACAACTGATGGTGGTCTTGAGAGATGTAATAAAAATAATTTAAATGTCCAGTTTGGAAAACTGAAAGAGTGATTCTGCCATTACGAAGTGTAACTTGATAAGAGGGAAGTGCTTGGGTCACTTATTCACTTATGACACCTATATAATTGCTCACTCACTATATTCCAGATATTCTAACAGGTGTTGGGTATGCAAAGGTAGACAAGAGAGACAAGAACCAATCTCACAGAGCTCACATTCTAGTGGAGATGAATATGATGAAGAAATAAGCAAATGTGTATATAAAATAACTTCATATAGTGGTAATTATGAGGAAGTTAAAGCAAACAGTGGTATAGAGAGATGGGGAGTCAAAATGAGCATGGGGGAGGTTGAGGGGGAAATAATCCCTAAAAACGGTGGTTTTAAGTAGAGACAAGGAGTAGAGATGTAAGGGAAGGAAATTTTAAGAGGAAGGAAAGGAGTCTAGTGCTCGTTACAGCGGCTGTCAAGTTAACTCAGTTGGTTAGAACGTGGTACTGATAACACCAAGGTTCGGGGTTCAATCCCATCCCTGTACCAACCAGCCTCCGAAAAAAAAGTAAGTTTGCAAAATGTTTTTGGTAACTTTGGTGGAAAGAAAAATTTCAATCAATCCAAAGTGGCAAGAAAGGAAAGAAAAAGAAACATAAATCAAAGTGGGGGGAAACAGCACAAAATAAGATGGTAGAAGTAAATACACTGAAAAGAGATTGTCAGGTTTCATTAAAAAGTAAAAAAGGTTAAGTGTTTACTACAAGAGACAAACTGAAAGGTAAACAATATCAAAAGGTCGAAAGTAAAATGTAGGAAAATATCTACAAATGTAAAAATAACTGAAAGCTACTAAAAATATATGTGATATATATTAATTAAAAAATCAGTAAGATTCAACTCATCATGTCTTACTAACAGGAACTGAAGAAGAACTTGACCAATCCATCCTTATTTTGGAGAGGTCCAAAGACCATTCTCATTAATAATTCAGCCATGTAAGAAGTAAGAAACTATCAGAAATTTTTGAAAAACAGAATTAACCAGCTTGATTTATGGGCATATAGAGAATTTTGTACTTACAGAAAAGTTGTATTTGTCTTTAGTAATTACGGAATATGTTCAACAATCAGAGACTCATTAGATCTTAAGAGATATTTCATTTGTTTATACCCTTCAATGTAGAGAATGCTGGGCTACTTGTTATCTCATCACGTCTTGATCTGATCTTAAGATTCCTTCCTCCAGGTATTTGTAATGAATGTATGCTCGAAACTGATTATTTCAAACCATAGGATTTAAAATGCCAGATCTCTGCGTAAATTTTAGTAGATGTACATTTAAAATATATAATATTTTCTGGAGGAGTGATGAGACACTTTACCTTGAATTAGAGTGATATTTCTCAATGTCTGAGAGTGTTCCCAATCTTTCAGCCTTAGATCATTAGTGATGTTGTTCAATACTTTCACTTCTCCTCTTATTTCCTGATCCAAATGCATGTTTTCTTCTTTCACAGACTTAATTTCTGCTGATGCATTGTGCACACGCTCCTTCAATTCACTGATTTCCTGTGAAATATAAGTGAGCATCCACAGCTTTTGTTACACACGTAATTATCAAACATGCAAGTTCAAGAAGGCCTGGAAATTCAGGTTTTTAAAAAACATATAATATTACAGAAATTTTATGGAATAGAACATGGAAATTAGAAAACTTAAAATAATAATTCTTTGATTGTGAAGCATTTCCTCTTTTGACTGAAAGGCTGAATTTTCACACTCCAAGCCCCACCTCCCAATAACAATAATAATCAATTAAATATATCTAATGTATGCTTCTATTCCCAAATATATAGATGTTTGAATGCTCAAAATAAAATAAAATTTAAAACTTGTCATATGGTTTTTAATTTACTGAAGTGAAATTTCTTCATATTCTATTTAGAGTGGTAACAAATTCCAGTTCTTACATACAAAATTGTTTTTATAGCTATAACCAAATTTAGTATCTTAATTCTCAGGGATAATGAATGTTAAGGATAGATTTCTAATTTCAATAAAATCTCAAACTAGCATGTTAATAATACTTTACTTTCAATTTTTGTCACCTCTATATTTGAGGCTTCATTATTATTTTGCTTTTGAAACACGTACATATGTTATGTGTATTTTTATGAGAAGGGAAAGTGGATTCGATTTAAAAAAAAAATCCTATACAGCATCCATGCACAACCTCTGCACTCCACCACCAGTGGCTCTGCTGGGAATAGGCATTTAATTTTGCAGTCCGACAGTCTTTTCTATGAACAAAGGAGATAAATTCCACCCCATCTTCTATTTGGTACCAATGTTCTTCCTTTTTTCTTTCAAATTAAAATGTCTATAACCAAATTTTAATGTCTTAATTCTCAGTGGTAATGAACATTAAGGACAGATTTCCATATTCTATAAAATCTCTGTTTGGTCTTTCCTTGATAAGTATTATGTTGGTATTACTTATAAGCCTTTTCCTCAAACAGCACTTACTGATTCAGGCATTCATTTCATTTACTTATTCCTGTACTGGATTAAAGATTCCAAAATCAGTCAAATTATTCAAGCAATGGGGATGAGAGTCCCGATGTTGCTTTTCTGTGTGTGCATACATGTACACATAGGCAAACACACATACATACGCTGACACTGACATAGTTTCTAAATCACTACAAGGGACTAGTGTTGTCGAAAGAATATACAGCTTTGAACGTTCCACCAATTCCTTGTACCTCATTTTCTAATGCTGGAACTCCCTTCAAAACCTAACAGCAATCTAATCCAAACTTAGACTACCAATCACCAGATTTTGATTATTTCTATTAATTATTACTTCAAACAGATCCAAAATTTCTACTGCCTTCCATTGGTTATGTGGGCTCAATGACAATCTATGGTCTCTGCTGCATTTGGCACACTACAGATACCAAATATGTCTTTGTTCTTTCATCTTATCCATCTTCTCTCTGTCCTACTCCATCTCATGGCCCCCCTGACTCTCTGTTTCTACATAAATTAGTATTTTTTTCTCCCTCCCTTTTTCTCTGCAACTTAATCAGAGGCTACTCCTATAACTAACATTTTAGCCTCCTCTCTCTCCCACACTCCCCAAGCCTATGGACAGTTTCTTCTTTGTGTGTTTTCTCTAACCCTCCCATAGTCCAAGTCCTTGATATCCCAATACCATTTGATATGCTTAGTTACTTGTTATCAATGTGGGAAACAGTGATAAGATTTTGAAAGTGATATGGCACAGAAACAGAATATCAAAATTGGTGTAGAGATGAGGTTCACCAGCAGAATCACCACCTTTAAACCATAATGTCATTGTCTTCTGGCACCTTAAGCAGAAGACCATGTAAAAATTCAAAAGTTCTGAATGATTGAACCTCATAAGTAATAAATATGTGGGATATTTTTCCTTAACCTGTTTAGTCTATTCTCTAGTCAATAATTTAGTTGGTTTTCATGTGATGCTATAACTTTGGAGTCTTGTCTTTGTTCTATAAGTGATGACCATTTAAAAGAAAAATCACAATGTGTAATATTGTATCTATACAGAAAACAACCTCATTAACTAAGAATGGGTCTATTCAAGTAAAATCTCCTCCAGAGACACCAGCATTGCTTAGCAAATGATAGAAATTTTATAGGCTTCACATTAGTTAGGGGTCTTAGATATTTTATAATATAAAAATTATTTTTCACATGAGAAGTGAAGTTTTTGTCAAATATTTTTCATGGAAAGAAACAATTCTAATTACTCAGTAAAAAATGCAATTTTTGAATAAGTTATTTGCTGCTTAAATTCTTTCTCATCAATGCAAAAGATCTGAACCAGGGTTGGCTACAGAACAGTCTAGGACAGAGGTCAGAAACTCATGGTCGTTTGGTCAAATTCAACCCACAGTCTGTTTTTGTAAATAAATATTTATTGCATCATCACTTTGCTTACATGTCTGCATATTGTCTCTGCCTGCTTTTGCACTACAGTGGAAGTGCTAAATAGTTATAACAGAGACCATACGACCCCCAAAGCCTAAAATGTTTCCATCTGGCCCTTTACAAAGAAACTTTGCTGACAATTGGTGTAGAGTATGTTTTGCTCTCTTGACTGTATTATAAAGGGATATCTGATCATTCTACGGCTTGACCGTAATAGTGCTTTTCTTGTTGCTATATTTCTCAGTGTTTAATGAATATCACGGCTTGCACAGTAGTAGAAAACTTAATGTGTATTTGATCCTATGATGATAATAACTGCACATTATTATCCTATGATGATCTTGTAATGATAAAATGTATACATTATTCAAAATGTAATTATTTGTACACATAAAAACTTATGTATACTTCTTGGGAGCAGCAAATAAATTATTTTAAAATTTAGATTTTGTAGGATATTTGTGTAAATAAAATTTCCATTCCTTTGGTGATGAAGAAATATTGGGTCTGTTGTAAAAATTCACAAATGCAGAGTGCCCACCTCTCAAGACCTACTAAGATAACCTAAGAATCATACTTTGTTTAGAGAGTTTAACAAGGCACTTTAATAATATTTAAAAAATTAAAATACCTTAAGAGAGTCTATATCCAATGGGAAAAAAAATTCCCCCTTTTTCTGGGAGTCTGGGGAAGGCACTAGGTAAAACCATTTGAAACCTTTTGCTAAGATTGCCAGAAGAATCAGGGTAAATAGGATGATGCTGAAACAGTGTTTGCAACCTTTGCTTTCCTGGACTGCTTAAGGAGATAGGATCTGGATGGATTCAATTCCAGCATGTGAACTTCCAATGCAAAAATTCTTACCTCTTGTTGTTTAAATGTGTTCTCTTGGATTTTGCCATTTAGTGTTTCTACATTGAGCTGCAAATCAAGCAATGTGGTATTCAGATTTGTTAAGGACTTGGCGATTTCTTCTATTGCATTCTCATGTCCCTGGACGGAGGAAACCAAGTTGCTTAGCTGGAGAAGAACATCATCAAATCTTTGACCAGTTGTCACAGTGAAATTTTGGAAATGCTCCAAATCTGGGAGATTGGCCTCAGTATCTGAAATATATTGAATTTTCTTCTCCATGTTGCTCATGTGTTCCATAACATCTTGAAATCTCATTTCTTCTTCACTGTCATTTCCTTTACCCGTGAGACTTTGAGATATACAATTTGTGTTAATTGAATCAAGTGTGGAATTCTTTGTTTCCCTCTTCAGGAGTTGAGCTGCATATTTAAGTAAAAATAAACCAAATCATGGCTTGTATATTTAAATGCGTACACCATTTCATGCCATATCATTCTATTTTATTTATTTCATTCCATTCCATTCCAACATTTTGAATGCTAGCCTAAGTTAAGTATTTAATTATACAATGTGTAAACCACACTAAGTATTTTGCTGAGAAACACAGTGTACCTTTGCCACTTTACATTAGAATTTATTCCAGGATTACATCATTCTTTCTGAATTCTGCTTATATGAATCTTCCTGGCCATTGAATTTGCCAGTTAGAGAAAATTTTATAAATCGTAAAATGTACTGTATGCTACTCCACAGGACTATTGTTAGGATAAAATGAGATACTGCTTAATATAGTTTCGAAAGTAAGAATCTCAAATATGTAAGCTACTGTGATGATGATGATGATGACCAAAATAACATATAGTGAAAGTAGAAGTAGTACTGTCATTCACTGTACAGATAAATTGTTGGCTCATCTTCCTTGTCTTTGCACTTAAGCTAGCAGAGAATTGTCATTTCAACTCGCAATTGGTAGAGCAGAAATTTGAGCAAACGAATTTTTTCATCTTAAAAATATGTTTTTATAAGACTCCGCTCTACCTATTATAAAATATATATTCATAGCAGAAAATTTAGCAAATATGAATAATAAGAAAAAAATAATTTATCATAAATCTCACCAACCTGGGTTAAACTCTAACATTTTGATGTATGTATATCAAATCTGGCTGTTTCCACTATTGTATTATTGCTATTATAAAAGAAGGATTCTTTTTTATATATAATTTGGAAATTACTCTTAAATTTAATGCTATATCATTAATACTTTTTTCATGTTATTTAATATTTTTCTACAGAAATAATTGAATAACTATATTGTATTCTATGTATGGATTTCCTAGATTTATTTAAACAAACATCTACATTTAATTCGCTTCTATTTTAGTAACATGTTCAATATTTTGATGAACAATTTTGTGATTATTTCCTGACAAAAAAATTCTATTAAATGGTATTTTGGGAACATATTGAGCTGCTAATTTTCAAATGGGCATATGTTTTCTAAACAACCTAATTATGTTTCTGAAATGATCTAAAACAGTATGTTTTACAGTTTCAAAAACAATGAAAAACATAAACATTAAATTTGCAGATAAAAATAATGCATAATTATACATGACGAATAAAGTGTTTAACACCATTTTATCACTAATCAGTGATGGTTGAGATTTTGTTATTTTTCCATATATCTATATATACATTTGATCTACATACATCAATCACATTTGTATTAGGTTGAATGCATAAGATTTTCATTACTTGACAATTATGGAGCAATAAAAAGAGTAACTTCATATGGTTTAGAAATATATCTTTATATATAGCTACACCTGAATCTGTTGGTTTTCTTAATAAAAATAATGTGGTAATAGTACCAGCTTTACAGATTTTTGAGAGTCAACTGAGATAACACATGGAAAACATTGAGTTCTATCCCTAACTTAGATATATATAAGTTATATAAACGAGAGTTTGGCATTTATAGAGGACCAGGCTGCCTGACTCTGGAATCTAGTTCCACCTCCTCACTTACCAGTGGGGTTACTCTGGGCAAATTACTTATCTTCTCCTTACTTAGGTTTCCTCAAACAGGTAAAAGTAATAAGTACCTCAGCAGTGGTGTTGAGCACGAATAAAAAAGTATGTGAATCCCATACACACACTCAATTCAACCCCAAAGTGCCTTACACATCAAGATACTATCTTAGTTATAGAGTCCACTGTATTTGCTACCCTTCTTTCAAGAAGCTGTTCGATGATGGTTGCTATTGTAGCTGTTACTATATTGAAAGTAACTATTATGTTATACATGCATTTAAATTTCAATTAAAAAGGCATTATTTCATATTTTCCCCAGTTGTATTTTTTAATATTAGTGTATTTGAATTAATGAAATATGTGTGATAACATTTTGATGTGATGTACAACAGAGACCATATTGAGTGTCTGTTATTCTATATTTCTTAATTTATCAGTAAATTAGACATAAAACCATATTTCTCATCACATTTATTAAATTCAGTGTCGGGAGCAAGTTTTGGATTGGCTACTCATTCATGCATTCATCAATACTTTGATTTATTTATTAAGAACCTACTGTGTGTAAACCACCGAGTAACTATGGGAATAAGAAACTTATTGGGAATGGATTTTGAGTTACATAATCAGAAATCCAAATAAACAATTTTTTCAAAATTATTTCAAAATTGTTTCTTAAAGTTTTCTCTTTATTATGATTATTGCTTTTTAGGTAGCAGTTGAGAATCTAGGTTCTGGAGTAAAACTGCCTGGGTTAGTAATTCTGGCTCTGTCCTTTATAAGCTGTTACATTAGACAAATTACTTAATCTGTTAATGCTTCTATTTCACCATCTGTATAAAGGGAATACTAACAGACAGTGTTTAAATAATTAAGTGAACTATTTGTAAAGTGCTTAGACCAACTCCTGGCACATGATAAACATTTGACAAGTTTCAGGGTTTTTTGCTATTGATATTTTGGATTCAATAACTGTAACTTAGCATCTGTATACCCAATATTGGTTAACTATGCAGAATTAATACTGTGTAGTATAAAAATATTTCTGGAGTTCGATGTTCCGATGAGCACAATAGTATCTGTGCTTTATTTTACTGGGCACATTGCTCTAATTTCTCAACCAAATATTTTTACTTTCACTGGAAACAAATTTAATTTCATATGGGTAAAGTGAATATTTTTCACAATATGGAAAAAGAAGACCTAATTTGGCAAAAGCCATGTGGCCAACAGTTTTTATTCTGAGAAGTTAAACATGCGTTGACAGTAAAGGTTACATTTTGCTCGTAGATTTAAAAACACAACATTGCTTTTTCCCTCAAACCCTAAATGAAAACTTGTTTAACCCTTACTTTAAAAAAAGTTTAACTCTTTACCATATAGCTACATAAAAATGCCAGAATTCATACTTTCAAAAGTTTATTTCTTTTACTTTTTTTAGACATATGGCATTTTGCGGCTCTCCATTTCAAATGTGAAAGAAAACAAACATTCATGTCCTGTGCCAAGACCCAGAGACAGGGTTAGGTTTAATTTTATGGACCACGTTTACTCTTTCATGTTGGTAGTATCTTTTCCTACCCAAAGTTTGTATTATTTTGTACTAAAAGTTTTTTAGAATTTCAGTAACAATTTGTATATGTTAATCCTAGATTATTGTCTTGAGACAGTATTATGTGGTTAGGCTGTGACAGTGATTCAGCAGCTTCTTTAAGAAAAGGTAGCAAATGGAGTGAACTTTATAATTAAGAAAATATCTTTTAATATATAATGCACTTTAAATTTTGGTTTGTTTGTTTTTGGCAGCTGGCCAGTGCAAGGATCAAACCCTGGACGCTGGTGTTATCAGCACTACAATGGCACTTTGAATTTAAGTAGTTTTTATGTATGATATTTTATTTCACTCATCAATTCATATTTGCCAAACAGACTAACTTCTATCATTCTGTATATCTTCTATCATTTTAGGGATACGTTTTGTCTATATTTGTAATTTTTTGATATCAGGTGGAGATATGTATTGCATTTTGTTCCTTTCTGAAAAATGTTCTGATCTACAAACTAATTAAAGCTGCAAGTGGGTTATCGATTGTTTATTATTAGTGTATGATAGACACAGTGAGTTCTGTTCCAAATTCTGGTGAATTTGGTACTGATGTGAACTTATAAGACATTTTCAGTTTCCTGTCAATCTTATTAGGTACCATTGTAGTTTTAGTAAATAAATTACTTCAAATCAATCATTGTCAACTCTAGAAAAAAGGTGTTGGCTTTGTAGGATTTTCTAATAGTCCAGGAATTTTAAACTTGGTTAGAATCCTGAGTTCTTTTCAGACTTCTCCCTGCATTATACATGGGCTTATCAAAGCTGCAATCCCCAGGGGCTGGCTCTGTAAGCCATGGTTTGTATAAAAGTGCTGAGATTTACCCAAATTCTAAGTGGCTTATATATAGCTAATGATCTCAACCAATGAAGCATCTTTCAGTCATGCATTTCAAACTACAGATAAGCAAATATGTAAACAACATACAGACAACCTCCGTTCCTCAGGAAGTTGATTATTTAACGCCAAACACACATCAGGTCCTTTTACTAAGATGGCTGCAGTGTTTCTTTGTTTGGTTTGGTTGTTATGGTTGCATTTTTGTTTCTCTTTGTTTTTAATAGTGAAAACAGGAGTTAACGTCTACCTCTGGAAAATACGTTTCTGTGGTAACTCTGCTCTATTGTGTTTTTGATTGGCCAGCTGTATTTTGCTATAAAAACCCAATTTCACTGGGAGACTGTAGACCATAGAGGTTAGGATTCAGAAGTCATGGAAGGGAGCTCCACTATTCTGTGTTGATAATGAGGATGATTATAGTAGCTGTTCAGAGAGTAACTGTAAGAATGTATTAAGATATAATCTGTGGAAAGTTTATAGCCCAGTACCTGAACACGGTAAATGCTCAAAAATGATAGCTACTGTTGTTGTTTTCAATGTCTTTTCTTTCTTAGTGGAATTTTGGCTCTATCTTGGAATATTCCCTTACATTGCCCCTTAGCAGAGGAAGTTTGGCCTTGTATTTAGGAGCATTGTCTTGTTAAGCTGATTAGTATGCACATAAAAACCTATCTTATTCCCAGTGTATATCTGATTAGAGCATATGGCCAGACATTTTAGAAAGAGCTACAAGGCATAGAAATTCAAATGCCAATCAAAATCCTTCAAATTCATCAAAAATGCCACTGAGGGGAACAATATTTACTTGTTTGAGTTATATGCCTGCCATTCAGCCTTGTGAAAATGCCCAAATCTATCCCCAGTTCAAGTCAGACTCTCCAAATATGAACCTGGAGAACACGTTAAGCTCAAGTAACTTGTCCTATTTTTTTTTTCTTTGAGAGGATACTCTCAGTTTATTTTAAAAGATATTTTAAACAACAGCCCTATGAAACACGTGACCATATAAACTGTAAGGATATTACTGAGTTGTAGGCCATTATTTTACAAAGTCTCCTCTCTCTGAAAACTCACAAGAATATTTTTGTCAATACTATAAGTAGAAGAGCTTCTCCTGAACAACAGGCTTGTATTTGTACTATAGACACTGTTAATGTAAATGATCATGTTTATGTCTGCACATCGGCAGCTAGGATACTTATCATGAAATTTGTGGCCTACTGCTAGAAGTATATAGGACTTTAGAGGATAATACATTTTTGAAATGGTCTAATCCTTTCCATCTTACTTTCACATATCTATATTTTTATCTTACTCTCTTTTTTCCACTCTCTTTTTTTAAAATTAAAAAAATCTATTTGTTTCCAGTTAACTTTGCAGAATTTATTTTTAAATTTAATAAATTTGAAGAACCCTTTGTAATATGAAGTTTTCCTCATCAATCTTCGATATACAAACCACTAAATGCTTCTTTTTTGCTCTTACAATGAGTAATTCACAGGGTGAACTGCTACATTCAAAATTCTGGAATACTATACCTGCCATTATTCCAATAATAGGTATAAGAACTGCAAATACAAGAAGATAAAGGGCAATCAGGGCAGCTTTGAAGGACTTCAGTTTCTCCTGAAGGGTAGGGCCATTTTTAGGATCTGAAAAAACAAAAGCCCAACCTATTGTTAGAAAACTTGCTCTTCTCGCTTATTTAAAATTTTCTTAATCTCCAATTATAGGACAGTACTTCAAAAAGTTTGTGGAAAAATAGAATTAAAAGATAATATGAATCTTTCCATGAATTTCTTGAACACTCCTTGTATTCTTACTACCAAGCCTACTGAAATAGCAAAGGGGAAAGAAAAAATAGGTCATTTATCCAGTAGAAAACAAATGGACAGTCACAGGAAAAGTCAATGCGGGTACTACTATGGACATTTGATTTACTTATCCTTTCACTAAACATTCATGAAAAAGTTCTACCCTCTTCAAGTTGTGATTGTCTCTGTTTTTGGAATTAGATGGTATATTTTCATATTGAAACTGACATATGCAAACATAAATTTTATTCTATGCATTTCACATGGAAATATATTTTGTGTGAAAATAAAATTTCTCAAGTAAATATATAATTATGAATCTTTCCTATTTTTAACAGTTACAGAAATATTTATTTTCAATGACTATTATGCAAAATTAATTTTCTTTACCACTTAGAACTCAAGTTTTGTATTTAGGTACCTCTTATGATTTAAATATAATGTGAAAATATCACCAAAAAATGAAATAAACAAGGTGATTTACATTTTGACTAAACTTTGAAATGGAACAAAGAAGCCCATCCTCAGAATATTTTGAAACATGTTAAAAACAATCACCTTTTAGTCTTATGAATTTATAAATAACAGTGATTCATATAACGACATGCTAATTGTGGTAGAGGAAAATCGGTATAGAGGGAAAACTTAGTACCGTAAATGAGGAAGTCCTTTCCTTGAGTAGGTGAATAAAATGTACAATAAAAATTTATTTTTTATGGCCATTGCTTTTACTGCTCAATAACAACGTCAGGTTGCAAACTCATAAATTAAAAACAAAATTTAGACATTGTTTTTAATGCTTTATACAAGATTGTGAGGAAAAGAAGAGAAAATATTTTAAAAGTAAAGAAAAAAAAAGAAGGAAAAAGATAAGAAAATTGAAGGAAAAAGAAAAAGAACAACCCACAATACAAGCAAGATGAGATAAGATATTCCGTTTGTCAAGTTGAGTAAGCCTGAAATTTAATATCTAATTTACAATCACAAATTCTGTGTATTGTTTTTCAAGTAGCTCTCAAATGTTTCTGTTGTCTTCTCCGCTCCCAAAGCCTCTGCCCCCCTGCTCGATCTCTCATCCTCTGTCTCTAGCAGCTTTTACTGTATCTTTTTTACCTGTGTCTCACTGGTACCACATCCTCTCAGCATCCTTTGCCCAGCACACAAGATCCACCGGGCCCAGGGTTGTGGTCTACATTCCAGGTTTGCCTGTGCAAGAGCTCATATTTGATCCTTTAACTTTGCATAGGCTGCTTCCGCTAGCTGAAATGTTTCTCTGACTGCCCTTTCCCAACCTCATCCCCTTGGTGATGTTTATTCAGGGCTTAGTAGAAGTGCAAGCAGTTCTGTCCCACCACCTTAAACGAGCCTGTCCAGATACAGCTGAATACTACTACTTCTGAGCTCTTGTCATAAACTACAAACATCTGCTTCTGCATTGCTGTGGGTTGAATTGTGTCCCCCCAAAAGACATGTTGATATCCTTACCCCAAGTACTTGTGAAGGTGACCGTATTTGGAAATAGGATCTTTGCAGATGTAATCAAATTAAAGTGAGATCATACTGGACTAGCGTGGTCTCTAATACAATAATTAGATGTCTTTATAAGAAGTGAAAAAACACATAATTACACAGGGAAGGAGGCCACGCCAAGAAAGAGACAGAGATTGGAGTGATACAGCTACAAGCCAAGGAATGCTAAGAACTGCCAGGAGCCACTAGAAGCTAGGAAAAGGCGTGGAAGGATTCTCCCCCAGAGCCTTCAAAAGGGTGCACAGACCTCCTGACACATTGATTTCAGACTTCTGGACTTCAGAACTATGAGAAAATCAATGTCTGTTGTTTTAAGCCACTCAATTTATGGCAATTTGTTACAGCAGCTCTAGAAAACAAATACAAGCACCAACCACCCACATTTTCAAACACTAGTGCTTGGCCATGGTGCTAGGACCAGGACCTAGTACTGTGGCTGGGCAGTCAGAGGACTCAGTCAATACTGAGGACTAATGTAATTGCATACAATGCCTCCTTCAATTTCGGCTTATTTTCTTCTCAACAGAGAAGATCTATTTATCAAGTAAGTGTTATTTTAACATCTATACGCATTTAAGGTAAGTCTCAAGCTTATAATTTTTATATAAAAATTTTACTTTGGTACATGGAAATAACTTTTAGGACAACCTCGAGGGGCACCCCATCCTCTTTGACTCACTCATAGGAAGCAAGGCTGTCATCGAGCGTGCATCGAATTTCACATATTCAGAACAGCTATCGGTGTCCTCCTGTTGATCAGGAAAGCTACCCAACTGCTCCATACTTCTATCAAACACATGAAAAAATACATTGATTACACATGAAATGACTAGGGACCTTTTGTATAATGCTTCAAATTGAAACTTATAAGTAAAATTCAGTTTTGGCAAAAAAAAAAAAAACAAGTACAGTTGATTAGTTAAATTTATCTGTTACTTATAGCAAGGCATTAAACTTACCCATAAATTTTAATTTTAATGTAAGAAGACAGATTTATGTGGAACCTACTCATGTATCCTTCTATGTACGAATACATATCTGTGTTTGTAGATGTGTGCTTTTTGAGTGTGAGGAGAGAGGTAGCTCTTCTTTCTTAGCTAAAAAAATATTTTCTAAGTGACAGAAAATAACCATTTAGCTGAAAAGAAAAAATAATTTCCCTTAGAACAAATAGTTATGTACATTTGGAACAAATATTTCTTGTTATCTTTTATCAGAGGTTCTATATTGAATATTTTATTTATTTATTTATTTATTTTTAAAGATGACAGGTAAGGGGATCTTAACCCTTGGCTTGGTGTTGTCAGCACCACGTTCCCCCAAGTGAGCTAACCGGCCATCCCTATATAAGGATTTGAACCCATGGCCTTGGAGTTATCAGCACCACACTCTCCCGAGTGAGCCATGGGCCAGACCTTACATTGAATATTTTAAACATGGCTTCATGAGCTAGTTTTTCTTTGCCAAGGCATCTGTTAATCATTTTAGAAGGATAAAACAGTCTTGTCACTAGATTAGAAACCACAGGAAAAACTTAATTTTTTTTTTTTTCTTAATTTCTCTTTCTTTTTCTTTGTTTCTTTTCAGGGCTTTTCTTATTACACATTGGCAGCAACATAAATATATCCTTGTATCTTTTTAAGCACAATATATATTCTATGACACCATGTATGCCTATGTCTCTTTAACATGTATCAGAATCATTTGAAATCTTGACAGATCTCACCCCCAGAGTTTCTGATATCTGGGGTGGGGTTCGAGAATTTGTAATTCCAGCAAGTTCTCTAGAGATAGTGCTGTTGCTAGTCTGAGAACCACATTTTTAAGAACATTTTCTTTTTCTTTCTTTCTTTTTTTTTTTTTGTTGTGTGCAACGTGATTTTATTTATTTATTTAATTTTAATTTATCATTATACAATGTAGTTGATTTTCATGTCCCTTAACCAATTCCTCTTTTCTCCCTCCCTCTCCCCCTCCCCCATCAACATCATATCTGTTCATTTGTCCTAACAAGTTTTAAGAACATTTTCTACAAAAAGAAATTGTGTGTCTTTTTGTGTGTTTTTCGTTGTTCGTTGATTGATACATTTAGCATAAAGCTAACATCTTTTGATCATTTCTTATTTCCTTTAATGTTGAGTTATGTATTTATCACAGCATGGTTTTAACTGAGTTGGCTGGCAGCTCCAGGACACTAAACTCAAATCCAATCCAGGAAATGAAGAGCAATTATTCATATGCAGACATTCATCCTGCTTTGGGGAGAGGCAAGGACACAGGAGGATATGACCCAACTCCTGCCAATAGATTTTTAAAATATTACTAGGGAGATTCTCTTTTTGGCAGTTTCCAATGACAATCTTTTTACATGCATCATTTCTGAGAATTGGTTTCCATAAATCCTATGTCGATCCATCCAAGGACGGTGTTCTTTAAAGAATTTGACCACTGTGGGGGAAGGCGATGGAGTGGGGTGGGTATAAGGCCTAATCCTCTTTTTACTCAGGCAGAGAAAAAGCAAAAGAAAGAAACAATTATCTGGGAAAATTGACTTTTGTAAGAAACCAAATTGGATCATTCAGATCCAGACTCTCCTTCCATTTCCTCTCTTTTAATTTAGTCTATTGTTAGATTTGGATAACAGGTTTACTCACCAAGCAAAACAAATGAACAAGTAAACAAAATTAAAAAACCGAGATGACAATAAAGCTTAGCTAAATTCATTTTGAAGCTATAGTTCAAAGCAATTGGGACTGTGTGGCAAAGGCTGTTAACTTTGAACTCAGTTTGTGAAAGATGGGCTCACGAAGCATAAGGACATGTACTCCTGGGATGGACGGAAATCTTTTCCTTTCAGGCTGCCCACCTGCCCCTTCTCCACATTTGACTACAGCTTCTGTCCTCATGTTTGAGATATTCTGACTCTGCTTTTATTTAATTACAGAACAAACTTCTCAGATTATCTTATAGTCAAGAATGTTTATGCAAAAAAGTAAAACCTTTTGAATTTGATAAACATCTCTAGACTGTGAGTTATGGAAGGGCAGGGATCATGTCTGCTTTTGTCCACATTGTGTCACCAGAGCCTAAGGCAGCCTGGAACATGAACATACTTAATATTTGATGAGTGAATGATCTCATTTGTTTCTGACATTAGTCTTATATATCAGGTTGTTTTAGTTTTTTAAAATAAGATGGATGTTTGCCTATGATTCAGATTTATTTTCTTTCTTTTTTTTTTTTTTTTCTTTCCTCTCTAGTCTACATTCTCACTCTTTAGATAGCCTCCTTGAATCTGAAACTAATCTGAGGCCTGGATGACTGTTATGCTGTTAGGACACTTTCTCTCACTCTAGCCTGTTCCCTAATCACCATTTGTTTTCATTCTGTCAGTCCCAAGTGGCGGCAGCCCACAGCAGTTCTCAAGGAAACATTACCAGTCTTTTGGTTGTGATAATTCTTTTTCATTTAGGGCTGTCTCCTGGTTGTCACCCTCTAAATGTCAATAATGTCTCACAATCATTGTGTCACAACTCCTCCTGCAACCCCCCTCCTGCCATAAAAACCTCTTCCATAAGTATTTCCAGACACCCAGCCCTCTTTGAGAACCATTGCTCAACGTGTATCCTAAATGTGGATGAAAAGACAGGAACAGCAGCACTCTGCAAAATTTGTCTTGAGCCATCTGACTGCTAACACACCTTTAATGAGCATTTGTTTTCAGGAAAAAAGAAGTATCTTCATGAGCTTCAGCAATCATACAGACTCCTCAATTTGTTTTGAAGGATATCTCTCAAATCCCTCCCTGTGTTGTTAGCCCTTTAAATTCATATATTATAGACCATTACTAAAGCCTACATGAATGGTTCTTACAATAAAATTTAAATATTTTGTCATTTTAAAGAGAAGAGAAAATGGCAATTTCAGAATGATAATCCAGTGATCTAATATTGGCCTCAATAAAGTAACATAAATGTTATTTTTATCCAAATACTTGCTCAGTCATGATATCAGGTCATTTTATCAATTCATTACATTAAGCACTGTGCAAGTCAACGAGATGCCAAGATTAATGTGTGTGGAATATTCTCAAACACCGCTAATTCGGAAAAGTGAAATCTTTATAAACAATCACCTGACAGTGTGATATATACACATATGAGGTACCAGCATAGTGCAGACAAGAGTGGTTAACTCTTTGGGGAAAGTGGGTAGTCAAGGTAGGAACACAGAAAAGATGATACTTTATTGCAGTGTTAAAAATGAGCTGAAATTTGTGGCGAGAAGACTACCCCAGGATGGAAAATACCATGTTAAAAGGGATGCAGGGGCTGGCCCGGTGGCGCACTGCTACAGTGCGCCACTTGGGAGCGCAGCGGCGCTCCCACCGAGGGTTTGGATCCCACATACAGACCGGTTCCCGCTCACTGGCTGAGCGAGGTGCGGGTGCAACACTGAGGGTTGCGATCCGTTGCCGGACACGAAAAAAGACAAAAAGGAAAAAAAAAGGGATGCAGGGTGAGCAGCATGGGGACTTAGAGTGGATCAGCACAATGGAAGCAGGACTTCTGGGCGTGAGGCCAGCAGAAGAGTCTGGAGAGGCACGTAGCTGGTAGTATGCTGCCCATCAATTTCTTCTTTCACTTTTTTGATCTCACAAATCTATCTAGCTTTTGCAACCTATCCAAAATATAATACTGTTGTCAGTATCTATACAAATGAGGTAAAACATCATTCTTCGCTTTGGCATTAGAGACCTAGATTAATATGACTAGTGACATAACATATATTATCTATTAAACATTTTGTTTTTAATCCTTCCACCCTGAAATAAAAATGAAGCTCAAATTTTGTTTTTCTTTAAGCCTCTAAGCTTTGATTTTTCTTTCTTCTTCTTTTTTTTTTTTTTTTTTTTTTTGTGGCTGGCTGGTGTAGGGATCCGAACCCTTGACCTTGTTACACCACCACACTCTAACCAACTGAGCTAACTGGCCAGCCCTTTTATCTATTTTTTCCTAGCTTAAAGAGGTGATAATAAATATTTTGTGGATTACCGTATTTTAAACTGTGTTTTCTTTGCACAGACATTAAAACTTTGTAAAAGAAAACTCTCTTGTCAATGTTTATAAGTGGCTTAACTTAATTGATCATGTTTGGTCTTATTATACCCTTGGCAGTGGTAGGGTGCTGGAAGGGAGATGATCACTAAATTCTCCGAGTGGGATGATGAATAAAAAATACTCCCCTCTGGCTCCTCTACTGCACCATGGGAAGTTGTTTGTTTTCTCAGGCAATGTACAGCAGGGGTTGTTTTATCATAAACTGCATGAAATATTGGTATATATTTTTTCCATAAAAAAAAGATTAAGTTAATCATAGTGTTGTCATCGAATTGCTGGCACTGTCTGTTGTTACTTTCTTTTGTTCTTAGTCTGCATTCTCTTTCTGGAAATCTCATTTACCTCATGGCTTGAACTGCTACCTATATGCTGACCGAGCCATATATCCAGCTTAGATCTCAGGGATTTTTGTTTTGTTTTGTCTTGTTTTAATGCAACTAATGACAATGGTACATTTTCTGCATCAACCTAATGTTCTTTTTCTGAGATATTCAATGTTGGCATATCATCTATTTAGATATCTCTTTATATCATCTATTGATTATTACAATCATTTGTTATTATCACCTACTTATTGTGTAGTGGGGAATACATAACACAGTCAGGCACATGCTAGCAAAGCACAGTCACTTAAATCAGAAGACAAAGCTTTGTCCTAGACCACCCTCACTTACAAGACCCACAGCAATCCTGACTTCCTGGGATCCCTTCCTTCCACTCTATCCCAAGTTTTGAATTTCAGCTCATTTTTATCTTCCCCAGTCGGCATCTTGGGTAGACAATTAAGATGAACATCTAAGAACATTAAGATAAAGAAGGAAATTAAAAGCACTGACGAACAAGCACCAAAACAGAGCACTTTAACAAAGAATAGGAGAAAAATATCAAAGAGTAGAAAATATTTTTTCAGGAAAAATATATGAGAGACATACACTTGAGAACAAACATATATAGTGGGTGAGTAATAGAAGAGAGCCCAGTACTAAAGACAAGGAAGAACTTTTTGACCCAATGAGAGGAAAACAAGAAGTGGTCAGGGTCGTGGAACAGAAAAAGATTCTCAAGGCATGCAAGGACATCCATAGCCTGCCATGAGAAATGCAAAAGGCAGATGCAGACTTGTGAGAGATCAATAAGTAAGTAAACACATAAAGATGAAAGGTCTTGGGTGCATACTAGAAATCTGGTCTTGTTTGTGCTTTTCTTTTGAGAGGAGAGATACTGATGATTGCATTAGGATAGTATATTGAGGGGAGTTTTATTTTTTCCTAGGTATTCCTCCTCATCTCCCCAGTGTCTGACATGGGAGTGTGCCAGGGCTCAGTTCTTGTCTTTTCTCTCTCTCTGTTCACTCCCTCGGCTGATCTCACTATTCTCCTTGCTTTAAATAACAATCTATAAGGCTGAGGCCTCTTGCATCTTTATCTCTTGCCCAGACCTTTCCTAACTCCAGACTTGTATATGCAACTGCTTAACATGTCCACTTAGATTTCTAATATGACTTTGCTTCAAAGGCATTTATTATTAGAATTACCAGATTATTTCTTCCTCATTTTTTAAATAACATGAAGTACATACACATGGGAGGCCTGTTAGCATCCAGGGAACAAAGCATACCGTTCGAGTGTGCCTTTAAAAGTCATTTCCAAAGTTATGAGAAAAAGTCATTTCACACAAAGTTACTTTTCCTACCAAATGTCAATGCACTGAAAAAGGATTGTGAAATTGTTTGAGTTTATATAATCTACTGAAAGTACATTCTCATGAGAAGTGAAAGACATTTCTGTAATATCAGCTTTTTATAAAGTGAGTGAAAAGTTTACAGAACTACCAAGTGAAAGAAAACATATTTTTAACTTCTTGGTATCTGCTACCTGACTGCTTTTTTAAAAGATCGTACAAATTTATAGATATTCCAGTCAAATATCTGGAATATATTCAAAAATATATTTTGAAAATATCAAAAATCATGGCAGTTTTAAACCAAATTCATCACCATTTGGGTAATAATGTTTCTTTTATAATCATTTAGATTCTGATAAGAGTTAAATGATACTTCAAGGTGGCTTTTATTTTCATTGTTTATTCTTAGTGTAGAAGAGATATTTTCATCTAATTGTTATTTATATTTCTTCTAGGGTTAGTGCTTGTTCGTATCTATTGCTTGTACATCTCCGGGGAGCTTTCTTTTGTATGTATGTGTGTGTCTGAATAAGCTCTTCATATGTAATAAATATTTACCATATGTCTTTTCATATTTGATGTATATTCTTTCTTCTAAGACTATTCCCTATTTATATTTGTCATCATATTAATAAGGTCAATTTCATCTTTAAGATTTGGGGTAAATGGTAGTCTTGTAACCTTTCTTATTACTTAAAAATAAAAATTTTGTCTTTTGTAAGAACAGTTGAAAATATGTATAAAATTATTTGTGAAATCCACAGCTCCAAGCTTAAGGAATCTGCCTGTAAGAAGGATTCTAGTAGGAAATGGAAACTTCCGTGTTGTGCCTGATTCCTTGGGATTTAAGGAGAAAGAACATCGATTTTTGAATCTGAAATCTAGATCTGAGTATTGGCTGTGCCATTACCTAGCTGTGTGACCTTACACAAATACTTTAACTTCTTTGAATTGCAGTTTCTTTATAGATGTAAAATATGATTACTATATCAAACAATTGTTATGAGGATTAAAAATAATTTTCATAAATTACCTGGTGCACAGAAAACTGTCAGTAGCGAATGGATCACCACTATTTTAAAGCACTATTTTTTTTTTTTTAGTAGCTCTTTTTATGTTATTCTCACAGAAAACCCCAGGAGGTATACAGTAGTAATTTTTTGAATTTCACAGGTTAGGAAATCAAGACCTAAAATATTTAAGTAACTAGTCAATGTTACACAGTTAGGGTGGGGGGAGCTGGGATTTGAGTGCAGGCGGGCAGTGTCCTTACAGAATATCAGCTCTTCACCACTGCATACAACTCCCAGTCACTGCATAACACAGTCACAATCTCAGTTCTGTGACTTTTCCATCACTATTTTCACATGGCCAATGAGAACACCAACCCCCATTTATACTGTGTAAACCTTACCCATTCTTCAAGATGAATCTAAATCCTAACATTTCCATGAAGATTCTTTTTTTGACAGTTCTTTCTCTCCTTGAAGTAATTTTGGCCTCTCTTATATTCCCTTAGATATCTACAGCATTTTCATGCTACTTTAAGTGCTCAAATTGTATTATGCTTATTTGGGTATATACCTTAGATCATGAACTTTCTGAAAGCAGAAACTATTTTATTCTTTGTATCCTTCCCATATCTAGCTGAATGAACTACATATAGTAGATGCCCAGACAAAATTTGCTATATGAGCAAGTAAAGATAGTAAAAGGTATTAGGCTAAAGCCAAAAGTGTTACCTGAAAAGTAAGGAAAGGAGAATAACTTAAACATGTTAAATTACACTTTGAATAAAGACAATATTTTTAACAAAATCTGCACAATTATGTAACAAAAATATCTTGCCATTTCAAGCTACAAAGTATTTAGTGTATTTATACACATATATATATTTTCTACTCGTGGAAAACTCAGCAGAAATCTCTATTTTTTATTCTTGAAAACAATCAAACCAAATTATCAGTGATAGAATAAAATATTCTACTAGGTACTATTCACCATTTATATACATATCTATCAAATATCCCTCTCTCTCACACACACAGAGTAGGTACATACAATCAACAAAAGCAATTTTGGAAAAACACATTAAAATAAACCGCTTTTACCGTTGGTCCTGAAGAAGGCAGTGAGGATTTATCCACTTCCTTCTCTTTGTATGTGAGACCTGAAATCTTTATCTCATAGTATTTCAGTATCTGGTACATGAAGAAAGGAAATGACACTTGTGTGTGTTGAAAATCTTTCTTAACAACGTGTTTCAATAGCACGTTCATCAGTGCACAAGTTTGCAAAATCTAAATTTGTCAGACAACTCATTCCTCTTCCCATTGAGGCCATTCTAAAAATAAAAAAAAAGAAGAGAGAAGTAAAAAGAAACAGAAATAAGGGTTATGGGAATAGGGCATATAATTTACAGCAGATTGATCTTTCCCTTTTTGTAAGTTACGTATGCCTTCTATAGCATTCACTGAATTCCATTATCTCTTCTTTCATGCTACATAATGTTGAGGAAAGACTCCATGTTTAAGCGACTTGTTTTTCTTAATCTTTTTTCCTATATCCCCACCCCTAGCCTCAAACACAAAACACATGAGGAAAAGATAGGAAAAGCAATAATCTAACAATGCGCACTTCAGCTCTTTCTGTACTGATGCTAGCACTGTCTATCTTTTGAGCACCTCACAAGCTGTTTATTTCCCTAGGAATATAGTGGAGGGAAGGGTTGCCTTACCTTCTGCAACCCTCTCAGAGTTTTATATATTCCATCTCATTTATTTACTCACACTCAACAAGTTCAAACATGACACACACACAAAATATTCAACATTCCATTAATGAGCTGGTTTATTTTTATTTTTAGTTGACACATATGGATTGTACATGTTTATGGGGTACAGAGTTATACTTTATTCCAAGTATACAATGTGTGATGATCAAATTAGGGTAATTAGCATATTTGTCACCACTAACATTTATCATTTCTTTGTGATGACAGCATTTGAGCTCCTCTAACTTATAATAAGCCAATGTTGACAACTAACACTTCTGGGAGAAGGTGTTTAGTTTATATTCCATAGACATTTCCTGGGGCTCTAAACAGGAAGGATCATATTTCCTGCCAAAAGATGGCCAAAATTGCCATCTCTCCGAAGACATAATTCCTCATAGAAAAATTACAGAAACAGTGCACTGCCTTTGAGAGACACAGAGTAACAGTATCACCCAGTCATTCGTAAGGGAGCCATGAAAAGGCTAATAGTGATAGTAATAAGGGCATGAAAGCAAGGGCCACAAGTTCTAGCCAGGCTGCTTAGACAAGAAGTGGAATTACAAGTCGATCCAGCCTGAACCAGCATGAAGGCCATTAGGTTATTCCTTAAACCACTGAGGTTTATCATCAAATTCTTAGTGAAAAGGAACTGGACACTAACATCAAAACTCACTGCTGTAAACTCATTTCCTTTATAAATATTTGTACTTGTATATGCATCTCATTTTGGAATGTGGTCCTTTCCTGTCTTTACAAAATCTGGAGTTTAACAACCCCTTCATATATGGTTATATTTGGGTACCCCTGTCAACACTAGCTGATTAGGCAAGTCGGACTCTGAGAATAAAAACTAAGACATCAACTTTCCAAGATTCTGTCTAATGGGGTTTCTTTCTGTTGGAGTAGGCTCTATTTCTAGTATGTCTCTCTAATATTGTTATGTATCCATCTGCATTTCCACAATGTGAACCACTTCCCTATTGGCTTACTTCCACATTCTTCAGCCAATCTAATTGTTCATTTAAAAAATCTCTCTTCTTTTTGATAAATTAAAATTTAAAAAATCTGCAAAAAATAAAATCTAAAGAAAAAAAATTCTCTCCATCTCTACATATATAAACATACACTATACATATATATGTATGTATTTTTATATAGGACATATGTATGTAAACATATTATATATTATATTGTATAATATTTTCTATTAGGTCTTACTATCTGTAAAACACCTTACCAGATAACCAGGTAGAATTTCAAGCCAATGATTAATTGAAAGGCACAGGGAATGTTTAAGGGGTTGAAACTTTACATTTATTGTTTCATTTGATTTCACAGCAACTTTGCCAGGTCATTTTCCCGATTAAGAAATTGTGGCTTAGAGATATTAAGTAAGCTTCTCCAGATCACAGAGCTATGAGTCATTACAGCTGGTTGTCTAACTCAGTCTGATTTTAAAACTTGGCAAAGTACACATTCTTCTTAATGTGGGGTCAGTGTATGTATTACAAGGTGCTTACGAATTCTTCATAAGAAATGTTATGTAGAAAACAAACCACAGACATGGGCACATTACAGATCATCTGACTAGTTGCCTTGCTATTAGTTACTGCAATGGAATCCCAGTGACTTCATTTTTGTTGCTTATGGATATATGTGTTTATAGTGAAGACTAGATAAGATTATGTCCAGTGTTCAAATAAAGGTTCACAATCAAATAGAGAAATAAGTTGGAAGAATTGAGTTGAATATCCTAGGGCTCATGGTGGTAGAGGCATGCCGAAATCAAAGGAAGATTTAATATTTTTCACTCATTAAGAGATAATTTTGTATGTCTCTGATTTTGATAGGTCATTGGTCACTAGGTATATGACAGATATATGATAAATTTGCAAAGATAATATTTTTCACATTCTAAATTCAAAGCAATAGAATATTGCTGCAGTGGACACAAATCTCCATGTGAACATAATGCATTTATAGAACTGTCAAAATATACCTCATCAAAGTTCATATCGAAAAATGTCTCCTGGCAGAGTTTTTGTTTGATTATTATAAGAAGAAAAAAAGAGAAAAACTTGAGGTTATCAGTAGCATTTCATATAGCCTTATGTGGACAGAAGTTTCTTACATAAGTTTTATCGAAATCCAAATATATATAGTAGGAGAACTAAGCAGCATCTTCCTCATATTAAGCCTATTGCAATATTTTGTATCAACCACACAATCTTAAAAACGATATTATTATTTAAGATTTTAGTATTTTTATAGGATTTTTGAATTGAATTCACACATGCATTACATTTCAAAAATTGGTTAAGAACTATAGACCTATGGAATTTAGATCTAAAATTATATTTCTATATATTTTTTTTTTTGTCTTTTGTCTTTTTCCGTGTCCGGCAACGGATCGCAGCCCTCAGTGTTGCCCCCGTACCGGACCGGGGACCGGCAACGGGACTGCAACCCTTGGTGTTGCTCCCGCGCCTCGCTCAGCCAGTGAGCGGGAACCGGTCTGTATGTGAGATCCGAACCCTCGGGCGGGAGCGCCGCCGCGCTTCCCAAGCGGCGCACTTATCCAGTGCACCACCGGGCCGGCCCTATATTTCTATATTTTAATGACACAAAATTATAATAAAATAATATATCAACACTCAGTGCAGTGGAGGAACCTATATATTTATTTTCCTTTGAGAAACACCACACTTTACCATACTGTCAATTTATAAAAGAAAGTGCATGGAAGACTTCTAGTTCCAGCTTTAACATCTAAAGAGCTTGGGAGTCATTGCTCATGTCCCTACACCAAGAAAAAAGCTTAGCAAACTTCAAGTCAATGACTTTTCTTGAACCCATCAGAGAATTGATGTCTCAGGGAAAAATTACCACCCTGAAATCTGAAGAGAGAGTCGAATACAGAGAATTGCAGCTGAGATCAGTTTACCTGGAGCAGAAGCCACTGGAGCCACAAACTGGTAGGAACTCTTAAATGGTAATTTTGATGAATTGCAAGAGGCTGAGTGTGGAGAGTGAGAGACTCCTGGAGGCTGCAGTATTAGGAGATCCTATCCCCCAAATATTCATGGGCTTTACCTCCAGGAATCCCACCAGTCCCTCACAGTATAGAGCCAAGAAAAATCACCTGATGTCTCTGGCAGAGGGAGTGGGAGAGTAACCATTCTAAAATACACCTAGAACATTGTCCATAACAAAAGATTTACTTTCCAGTGAAAAGCCCTTACCAGAGCCTTATCTTATGTAGGCAGCTAAAGGGCACTTAACTCTAGTTCCCTCTAGCCTTCCAGTCTAACTTAATAGGGGAAAAGAAAAAAAAAAAAAAAATTCCAAGAAACACTTGTGAAGGTCACAGTCCAGGGATATGGGCCTACTAAAAGTCAGGGATTTAATTATAAGATTATAGAACTTTTCCCCTCCCCCATACTTTATCAATAGAGCTCCAGTATGATAACAGTGGATTACAGATAAAAGAGCTGCAAAGTTTTGTTTTAAGGGAAGTTGGTAAGGAAACCCAAAGACAATAGAGGAGACAAAAACAAGACCTGTAGAGAAAATTTTAGCTTCTGACAGCTATATCCATAGCAAATGTTAAACACGGTCCAACGCCAGCCAGATTAATATAAAATCTCACACTAAGAGTCCAGTAAGTACATCCCAGACCCTAAAAGTCACACACTTCTTGGACAATTAGGGAAGTAGAGTGGGTAAAGTATACACAAAATACTAGTGACTAATTTCCTTGCAAGCTCAGCTGTTTCCCAAAAGCAACATTAACAGTTCATCCTTTCCTCGTGATTATGTCTTACTAAAAAGACATAAAAATGCAACAAAAAAGTGAATGTGAGCTAATTTTTATGTGCTATTTTAAGGACATTGCATTGAGTTTAGGGAAGTATAGCTTCAGAATTATGGGTGAAAGACCCATGCAGTTTAAATAAGTTTAAAAGTTGTAAAAGTGTCAATTAACTTGAGCCTGAGCAAAATGCATTAAGCAAATTCTTACCCAGAGGTCTCTAAAATCATTATGGGATGTCAGCCTAGGGGCTCAAAAACAGAATAAGACTTATACTATAACCAGGTGGATTGTGGCAAGCTGGCAATTATACATGCTCCATATCCTTTTATTCTCACAGCAAAATCTCTTTATTTTGAAATAAGTGAATTTAAAGGCTCTTCAATAAATTATCTAGGGTCACCTGGCCAGTGACAGAGTGCGAACTAGAATGTATGTTCTTATGATGTTCTGTCTACTAAACCGCATGGGTCACATAGCCTTCATGAAGATACATAATTTCTTGTTCTATACATCTCCATTTCCACCCATAACATCTCCAAAAGCAACTGCCGATAATTTCCAGGAGTGTCTCCAAAGTTCAGTTCTGCCATTTGCTATCTGATCTGCCTCAATTATCAAGTAAAACTGATTTCTCTTGTGCCCCTGCCAAATCTCTTGAGAGCACCACTTGTTGACAAATGTGAACCAGGAACCATTCAGGGAAGATGATGACAATTGT